TTTGCCCCTCCCCCGGCTCTCTCTCTCTAAAAAAAAAAATATATATATATATATAATATATATATATATGTTATATATATAATATACCCCACTATATATAAATGTGTGTGTGTGTGTGTGTGTGTGTGTGTGTGTATATATATATATATATATATATATATATATATATTAGTATTTCCAGGAATATATACATAGTATTTCCAGGAATCAAGACTTGAGAAGTAGGTGGATAGACCTTAGTACCTAGTACTTGCCTTCTGGAAGTAGCATGGACTGTACTGAGGACTCTCAAGCAAAAGTAGAATAAATTTTAGACTAGTTCTCTCCTGTTCTGGATTCATAACCTACCTTTTAACACCAGCATGAACTATACACTGACACTGCTCAACAAACTTTGCTTAAAGATTTTACGAGTTCTAGCCATAAATTTTCTAGTTTTTTTAACTCGTTATCCCAGAATATAATTTGGAATGCATGATTTGTGAGGTCCCATTGTATTATACCAGTTGGTTATTAATTCAATATCATAGAAGCCTTTTAGAACAGGAATTCAAGATATTTTAGAGATTCTTTATTCATGCAATTACTAAATCTTAAAACATTTGGAGCCAGAGAAGGCCTGAGTGATCATCTATTTCAAGGTCTCTTTTTAGAAAAGAGGAAGGTAACCAATTGATTTACCAAGGTGTTTTAGCTAACTAAAACTGATGTAGAAGCATTTTGACTTCCATTTTTAACAATATACTGCCTCATGTGGTTCTATTTTATGGTTCATTAAGAGTAACACATGTTGAGGAAATATATTTCCATTTTTGACAAAATTACTAAAAAGATCAGGAAAATGTGTATATATGTAATGTATCTAGACTTAAGCAAAACATTTGACAAAGTATTTTATCTTTGTGCTTATATAAAAACAATATGAACTGGATGTGGGACAATTATCATTTTTTAGTGATTCATTTTATTTCTTGACCTTATGAGAAATAATACAGACACATAAATATATGTAAAGCATAAAGGTACAGCTTAATGGGTTATTATAAAATAGAGACATGTGTAACTACCAACCAGATCAAGGAATAAAACATTATCAATTTTAAATTAGGGCTATTATGAATAATGGCTGGATTTTTTCATGCATCCTGGTGTAAATATGTATCTATTTCTGTTGAAGACACACATACATTATGACCCAGCAATTCTGCTCGTAGGATCATAATGTATGTACATCTTCACCTTTAGTAGATAATGCTTAGTTTTCCAAATTGTTTGTATCATTTTGCACTCTCACTAGTTATATATGAGATTTTCCATGAGCAGTTTTTCCATATATGGTTAGTATTTTTGCATCCCATTTAAGAAATCTCTTCCTACTCTGTGCAATGAAAATATTTGCTGTTATTAATTTCTAAAATCTTTATTGCTTTGCTTATCACCTGATTTGGTTTTTGTATATGGTGTGGTACAGGATCAAATTTCCTTCTTTTCCATATAAACATTCAGTTGCTTCAGCACCAGTAGTGAAGGCTGTGCTTTCCTCAGTGCTCTGCAATGCCAACTTTTGCATAAGTTAAATCTCCCTATATGGGTCTCTTCTGTAGCTCTTCTTTTCAAATGATCTATTTATTTTTCTGATTATAGACAATATAATTGTCTGACAATATAATTGTCTGACAATATACACTGACAATAACACACGGAAAGGTTCTAGGGCTTTATAATACAACTTTATATATGGTAAAACAAGTCTTTCCTTCCTGATTTTCTTCTCCAAAAGTTCATTGGTTTTCTGGTCATGATGGAGTAACAGGGGAAAGAGAAGGAGAGGGAGAGAGGCAAGGAAGGAAGGAAGGAAGGAAAGAAGGGAAGAAGGAAGGAAGGAAAGGGGGGCGGAGAGGGATGCAGGAAGAGAGGAAGAAGGGAGGGACAAAAGGAAGGAAGGGAGGGAGGCAAGATGGTAGGACGGGAGGGAATTTCCATAATCGGGAATGCTCTACACAGGTTTATGATATGAAGGTGGACATTGTAGGTTTATGTAGTACTATTTCTGAAATACTGAGTTTTAACACTTCTCAATTTTAGAATCTAAAAAATTCAGCTCAAACAATAATATATGTTGAACATCTACTATGTACCCAGCCTTGTAGTAGGTGTTGCGAAGGATTCAGAAGAGAGAGTCTAAATCAAAATGAAAATATTCAGAGCTCATTTACTCATTATTTTTATTTTTAAGCTTTGAACTATAAGGATTAAAAAGAGCACTGAATTTCAGATTTTACTATAATTTCTCCAGAAAAGAAACAAATAAATTCTTTCTAAATACAGTAAGCCTAACAGAAGTTAACCCTTAATACAATCCAAAATTTAAAAATAAAACTGAACAAAAATAAAAACAAGAAAACATGTCCCAACAAACCACTTAAAATATTTAGGGAATACAGGAGTCATGTATGGTGTCTGGTGCTGAAAATGGATCACCACTGGGTGTCAAAGCTGAAGCATTAGACCAATCACATAACTTTTGGTGGATATCTCAGTCATTCTTAGGATTGACTCTAACAGGCATAATGGTCTATATCTAGTCTTTTAAAATTTTTAGAAAATTTTTCTTCAAAATATATATATATATCTCAGGATATCAATGTAGAAAGCAGATAGAAGTAAAGCTCCTCTAATTCATGGGTAAGATCTCCCCTCCAAACTGCCCCACCCTCTCTCTACCACAACCTATACCCTCTGAGTTATCTCCAGGGCACCCTTGGGATCCATGGACGCCTAAAATGAGTTACTAAAAATGAATATTCTGCACCAGTAATGATTATCTAAACTAAAATAAAAACTAATCTTGATTTAGAAAACTGAGTTGGTTTCTTCTTTTTTGCTTCCAAACTGGTGCTGAGAACAGTGCATGGCTCCTACTTCTATAGTAGAACTAGAAACTAGAGGGAAGTCTCTAAGGAAGTCAAGAAGGTCCACTTGGGAAGGTTTTTGTCTCTCTGCCTATTTCTTACTCTAAGGAACATTTGTAGTCAATTACCCTGCATCCCTGGTTAGAGTAGTCCATAGAACCATATCACATAGAATAGAACACAGTATCATTACATAACTCACATGTCACAAGGCAGACAGGAACTGAACTTTAGATTGTCTTTCTTTCTCCACAGAATAAGAAAATGTCTGACGCTATCCTTCTGATTTCAGAGCTAATGATTTGGTAGAGCTTAACTAAACCTCAGGTAGCATGAAAATCTTCACAAGGACACATTTCCTCTATATTCAGGAGAACACATAAACCTGCATCCAGGCAAGAAGCCTGTTGGATGAGTTCTCCAAAGGAAAAGTAATCTTATTCTGATTTCCCTCATCTCCCAATTTAAGATAGGGTCCTTACCATTCCCTGGACCTTTTCCTAAATCAGTGTGGTGGTGAAACTGAGAAAGCATCAACAAATATGTGTCGGAATGGTGCAAAGAAGTGAAGAAAAATAGAAAACGATATTGCAACAAGAAAATGAAAAGGGCAAAGAATCAAGCAAGATAGCTTGCTCACCCTTGGACATGCAGTGACTTCTCTTTTCTATGTGGTGCCTCATTCTCCCTGCATCCAGGTGGTGGCACTGGTGCTCTTTCTGCTTTACCCTGTAGGGCAGCATTCAGCTAGTCTCCCTAAAATAAGAGGAACTCTAGGAGGTAAAGGAAGAGATGAGGGACACTTGGCTGCCTATTATTGGGTCTATTGAAACAAAGCTTCCTGAATGACCATTCCTTTGTAATGCATTGCCTTAACAAGGATGTAACAATCTGTGAGCAAGAGAAGAAAAAAGGAAAGGAATTGGAACTATACGTGGAATGTACCTATAGATGGAGCATTCAAGGATTAAGCTGGGAGAGCTACTCTAGTTTTTTAAAGTAGTCTTAAATATGGTTGGATTAGGTAGTTTATATCCTAAATTATGAAGACTGTAGTCACAAACGCATAGATTAGTTTCTGTCATTCTCAAAAACTATATTAACTTCTCCATTCTGTTACTCTACGTGGTGTCCAATTTTATATATGCGAAGAAATGAAGCATAAAGATATCTTCTGACTTAGGCAAGATCACATAGCAAGTTGGTGATAAAGTTCTCTGGAGTGCTGTACTGGGTGAGCAAAGACATTAGATGATAAAGACACAGCTGCATGACTATGCTAGATTCTCACGTGGAAGTTTTTCGGGTTAAGATAAGAAATTCTCTATATCACAGATGTTTTTGGACACATCCCTTGCAAATAAGCATTTTTATTTTTCTATGTGTTTCTAAAACATAAGACTCAAACATAGAATAGATCTAAGTTACAAAGAGACCATCTCAGGTTTTCAAAGTGGTCCTGGAAGAATGATCACTAGTCTTGTTTATCAAGTAAAATGTATTACATCATGGCCTACAAATAAAATAAATAGTATTTTTACATATATCTATTTGGGGATTCCTCAGTAAAGCTACAGAGAAAGGATTTCAAATGAGCACTATAGTAAAGCATACAGAAACATTGGTCATGGAGACACATTGATTTTTACTTCTTCCCTGGTCTCTATGAGACTATGTGATCTTGTGTAAGCCACTTAATCTTTCTGCACCTCAATTTCCTTCTCTGTAAAACAAATGACTTCAATCAGATTAATCTAATCATCATGCATCTGAAGCTCTCTTTGTGAGTAAATATTCCTCCATCTGAAATTGCTTCTAGCCAGAGTTGCTTCCTCAATTTATCCTAAAACTAAAATCCATATGGAAAAACACCCCAGGTAGGTTAGATGTACCTGCCCACCTTTGACTTTCTCTGTGACTTTTCTCCACAGTATTTCAAGGCCACTGTAACACACTGCTGCAGTATGTAAACCTAATCTTTGACAAGCAGTGTCCATGGAGCTAGTATATTTCACAGTGTACTTCTTTGAATTACTCACCATTTCCATGGCTTCCTAGAATTCTATTATCAACTCTCATTTTTTGCAGACCAAGAGAAAACAGGGTTTGAATAGTCTAGGAATGAATGTCCATCCCAGCAATATATGTCATGCAAGATCCTACCACCCAACTCAGGTAAGAATGACCAGAACTCATAGGGAAAGTGAAGGTACATGTTTCATTGATAGCAAAAGTTTGTTTTGGGTTGTTTGTTTGTTTGTTTGTTTGCCACATATTCATTAGTCTTGGGTAGTACAATGCTAAGTCAACACAAGCTGTAATTTGTATGTGGTTGTGTTCTCTTTATAGGAGAAAAATTTTGTGTCTGTAAAGGATTTGAATCAATCACTAAACAGTATTCATTCTAACTAAGGGAGCATACATATCTCAGAGTTCTATCCTGGGTAATAGACACCATTCTGTTCATAGTGACATAATAGATTTCCCTCCTGCTACATGGCTTTGTGCTCTCAGGAACTATGAGGGCACTGGTTAGTGTTGGTTAATGTTCATCCTGCCTATTTTTTTTTTATTAAATGGGAAGATAGGCAGGCAAAAGATACTCTGTTCTGACTTCCAGAAGTCCACATTTAGCCAAAGGATTTGATCCAAATATGGTTGGATACTGATATATCTGAAAAGTAGACCAATCACATGAGCACAAGTGACTCAAGATTTGTTAATGACTACCTGTTAAGAGTTTTGTGGCATCTTCTCTCTTGCAGACCCTATAGTAAAAAAGATATTTAACAGAATCTAAAAATGCACTGATAAAATAAAACTAAAGGAATATGTAAGTGTAAACTGTGATTGCTTGGATAATGGGTTCATTCCAGGTTTCTCAGAATTCATACACTAACATTGTCCACAATCAACTTCCCTTTTGGCCCCTTTTTCCTATTTTGTAAAACAAGCTATTTTCCTTTAACATGAAAAGTTCTGTCTAAAAGGATGTTGCTACAATCAATGTCAGAGAAATTACCGCCTGGGATCTCTTCTAAAATTTTTATGGTTTCAGGCTCACATGTAGGTCCTTAATCCATTTTGAATTTATTTTGTGTATGGTGTAAGAAAGTGGTCCAGTTTCATTCTTTTGCATGTAGCTGTCTACTTTTCCCATTTCCCAACACCATTTGTTGAAGAGACTGTCATTTTCTCATTGCATATTCTTGCCTCCTTTGTTCAAGATTAATTGACCACATAATCATGGGTTTATTTCTGGCCTTTCTACTCTGTTCCATTGATCTATGTGTCTACTTTTGGCTAAAATAAAAAACCCAAGAAACAACAGGTGTTGGTGAGGATGTGGAGAAAAAGGAACCCTCTATGGAGGTTCCTCAAAAAATTAAAAATAGAGTTACCATATGATCCAGTAATTCCTACTATTGGGTATTTACCCAAAGAATACAAAAACACAAATTCAAAAGGATATATGTACCCTTATATTTATTGCAGCATTATTTACAGTAGCCAAACTATGGAAGCAACCCAAGTGTCCATCGATTGATGAATGGAGAAAGATGTGGTATGCATATACACAATGGAATATTATTCAACCATAAAAAAGGAATGAAATCTTGCCATTTGCAACAATATGAATGGACCTAGAGAATATAATGCTAAGCAAAATGAACCAATCAGAGAAAGACAAATACTATATGATTCCCCTCATATGTGGAATTCAAGAAACAAAACAAATGAGCAAAGGGGAAAAAAGAGAGAGACAAACTAAGGAACAGACTCTTAACTATAAAGAACAGATGGTTACCAGAGGGGAGGTAGGTGGGAAGATGGGTGAAATGTTGAAGGAGATTAGGAGTACACATGTTTTGATGAGCACTGAGTAATGTATGGAATTATTGGATCACTATATTGTATACCTGAAACTAATACAGCACTGTATGTTAACTACAGTGGAATTAAAATTAAATTAAATTAGATTCTCTATCCATACAAAAGTATGAATTTTGATACCATTAATAATACTGAATGATTAATGTCTTAACAGTGATTAAATGTTCAGAGCATTTAAAAATGACATAGGATCCTGGGGTGCCTGGGTGGCTCAGCTGGTTAAGCATCTGCCTTCAGCTCAGGTATGATCTCAGGGTCCTGGGATCAAGTCCCACATGGGGCTTCCTGCTCAGCAGGGAATCTGCTTCTCCCTCTCCTTCTGCCCCTCCCCCTGCTCATGCATGCTCTCTCTCTCTCTCTCTTTCTCTCAAATAAATAAATAAAACATTTTTTAAAAAATGACATAGAATCCCATTTTTACATCATAATTTGAATGTATTATCATGCCTTCTATTTTGTCCATAAAACTTTTATAGGATACAGTGTATCAACATGTTGGAATCACTTGGGGAGGTCAAAAAGCTACTGATGCCAGGGCTGCCCCCTAGACCAGTTAAGCCAGAACCTCTGGGAGGTGGGACCCAGGCATCAGCAGGTATCAAAGGCCCCCAGGTGATTCAAAGACTGCTGAGATTGTAAGCCACTGAGCTACAGAGTTCTCTTATAACCTAAGTTTAAATGATGATCAGTTTCCATGTTCTTTCCTTTACCAGAAATTTGCAATAAAAAGAATTAAATTTCCAAATAAAAAAGTTTAATTTAAAAGATCAGTTAACTATAAAAAATAAAATAAAATGGAAAATTATGGAAGGAGTGTTTACAGACCTTCAATAATTTACATTCCCTGCAACCCTAATAGAAGTCTTAATGGCTTATGGCAGAAAAGCAAGTTAACCTTAAAATTCACCTAGGCTCTTCCAACCCTAAATTGTGGTCAGGACTTGTTGGGTTTGTGAGGTTTTAGACAGGTAAACAAGGTGCAGTTTAACTCTTTTCTGCTATTACCCTTCCTAAAACCTTGCTCTTTTTAGGTTCTGCTTTGGTTAAATGGTAAGTCATGTGAATGGCCCCCACCTTGCATTGCAACATCAGAATGCTGTTATCTCCCCCAGCACCTGATTTCTCATTCAAGCTGGTGCAGCCACTCTGGAAAACTGTATGGAGGTTCCTCAAAAAGTTGAAAATAGAGCTACCATATGATCCAGCAATTGCACTACTGGGTATTTACCCCAAAGATACAAAAGTAGGGATCCGAAGGGCTACGTGCACCCCGATGTTTATAGCAGCAATGTCCACAATAGCCAAACTGTGGAAAGAGCCAAGATGTCCATCGACAGATGACTGGATAAAGAAGATGTGGTATATATATACAATGGAATATTATGCAGCCATCAAAAGGAATGAGATCTTGCCATTTGCAACGACGTGGATGGAACTGGAGGGTATTATGTTGAGTGAAATAAGTCAAACAGAGAAAGACATGTATCATATGATCTCACTGATATGAGGAATTCTTAATCGCAGGAAACAAACTGAGTGTTGTTGGAGTGGGGGGTGGGGTGGGAGGGATGGGGTGACTGGGTGATGGACACTGGGGAGGGTGTGTGCTCTGGTAAGCACTGTGAATTTTGCAAGACTGTTGAATCTCAGATCTGTACCTCTGAAACAAATAATGCAATATATGTTAAGAAAAAAAAAAAAAGAAGAAGAAGAAGAAGGTAGCGGGAGGGGAAGAATGAAGTGGGGGAAATCGGAGGGGTAGACGAACCATGAGAGACGATGGACTCTGAAAAACAAACTGAGGGTTCTAGAGGGGAGGGGGGTGGGAGGATGGGTTAGCCTGGTGGTGGGTATTGAGGAGGGCACATTCTGCATGGAGCACTGGGTGTTGTGCACAAACAATGAATCATGGAACACTTCATCTAAAACTAATGATGTAATGTATGGGGATTAACATAAGAATTAAAAAAAAAGAATAAAAAAAAAAACTCTATCTTTCAGTGCTCTGACAAGGTATGTACTTTACAAGTTGCAGTTCTCTTTGCTCAGACATAATCTTCCATGGGCACCAAATAGGTAAAGCAGATAAAATGTCTTGTTGAAATGCAGGTAGAGGGCTCAGAGCCCCACTTGCTTGACCTATCTTCACTTTCTCCCATCACCTCACAGCTGCCTATAAAAGGGACTCATGGAACTCCCAGGGTGGGCAGAACTCAGGTTCTACTATCCTACTCAAAAGTATTTCCTTCCTTCCTCTGCACTCCTATTTTATTCACTATTTCTAACATTCATTCATTCATTCATTCAGCAAATATTGAGTACTAGCTGTGAATATCTGGCACTTAATTATGTATGGCCTGATTATTACACTTATCTAATTATGTTGGAATTCTCAGTTTAAATGTCTACTTCCCCACAGACTGTGGGTTCTTCCTTGGGTACTCTGATCCTACACAGGAGTTAGAACATAATACATACTTGATTTTCCCGTAAATCCACAGGTCTTTGCTCAAATACCACATTATTAAAAAGGCCCTTGCTGATCATCTAACCTCAAATCATACCTATTTCACCCTGTCTCCCTCTGTACCCCTAAGCTACTTTATATTTTTCCCATAGCATTTGTTACCACCTGATAAAATGTTATATATATATATATAATGTGTATATAAAATGTCTATAATATGTGTATATGTGCATATACATATATATGTATATGGATATATATATACATATATATATATATACCTCCGTAATATAGGCCCCTTTTTTATTCACTGTTATATCCTTAGCATCTAGAACAGTGCTGGACACTTAAATTGGTACTCATTAAATATTTGTTGAAGTGGTGGATGAATAAATGAAGTGAGCAAATATGGCTATATATTGTTAGCATTAAAAAGATATTCCTGTTGGGGCGCCTGGGTGGCTCAGTCGTTAAGCGTCTGCCTTAGGCTCAGGTCATGGTCCCAGGGTCCTGGGATCAAGCCCCGCATCGGGCTCCCTGCTCCTCAGGAATCCTGCTTCTCCCTCTCCCACCCCCTCTGCTCATGTTCCCTCTCTCACTGTGTCTCTCTCTGTCAAATAAATAAATAAAATCCTTTAAAAAAAATGAATATCTGGCACTTAATTATGTATGGCCTGATTATAACACTTATCTAATTACGTTGGAATTCTCAGTTTAAATGTCTACTTCCCCACAGACTGTTAAATGTATGTATGACTTACGTCCCTCACTGAAATGACGTCTTTTTTGTTTGTTCTTTAGCTTGACTATGTTA